CAGTACCCGAATCGCTTGACGCGTACCCTTCAGGGGCAGCGTCCGTAGGACCAACTTCTTCAGCCATCTCATCATCATCTTCACCAACTTATTGTTGGCCTCATTCTTCTGATTTGTAGTCAGCAGGTCCCCCCGCGTGCCACTCGCGATTGCACTGCGCCAAATGGTGAGTAGGTATCATGTTTTTTTCCAAACGAGATTTGAGTGAACTATTTCTTCGGCGGTGGTGCGGTCGCAATGTTACTCCGTCTGCTGCTCAAGATATGGCGTAGTATTGGGATCGGCACAGCGACCTCGACCATCTCCATGAAACCAAACCCACGGTGCCCCCTTGAAATTCGAGCTTCTTGATGGGCGTATCATGGGGCAGCCGAGCCTGTGATCAGCAGAATTGAGGCATGTGCAACAAACGCCTCTATAGAGTTTTCGCCCCTCGATGATCGCCCTCTCGACGCCCCGCGTAACAACCTTCTCTTGTGATTTGGTAGGCCCCGCCTTTGAGCGCATGATATTACCTGCATCATCTCGTTTGACCTGGCGAAGCGTTCCAACCCTGAGCCAGCCAGCATTCCATCTGGCTTGCGGGCATGTACTGACGAGCCAATCCAGCTTCAGCGTAGCCTTTCAGACGCTGCATGTCACCTTCTGAACATTCGCCTCCTCGCAGTTGGTCATATTGAAGCGAGTCTCCCCGCAAGCAATCCCTCCGTGGGGGGGCGCGCGGTCTAGTCGCCTGCCATGGCGGGGCCCTTGGGGCCCCCGCATCGGGGGGGATAAGGACGCTGAATACCGCTCGAACGGGCTCGCGCACGACTTGGTGCTCGACTGCGACGTATCATGCGGTCATTGTCTCCTCGTTCGTCGTCCTCGCCATCGCCACGATAATTCTCCCCCAAGGCTGGGCGGCTTGGCGATCGCTCATGGCGGCTGGCGGATCGATCTGGCGAAACGAAAGGGCACTGAAATTCTTCATTGTGACCCAGCTCCTATTGAATACGCTCAGATAGATCACTGGCGTCGCGCGGGTTTTCCCGCCGAGGATAATCATCGATTACCTCCATGTTTGTCGGATTTCCAATCACCCGAGGATAGAGCATCGCATGTATTTCCTTATCTGTTGCAGGAGAGGTAGATTCTGAGTCCGCGGGTGCCCCCGCCATACCAAAATCACCTTCGATGGGCACGGAAGGTCTCGACAAACTTAATATCTGCAGGTTGCCCCGCGACGGGTATACCCAGCCATTCTGCCGGGTCGATGTCACCATGGCCAGCGAACACCTCCTGGAACAGCTCGTCGGCGTAACTATCGAGGGCCATGCTGGTACTTTGATACCTGGCAGACATGAAATGAACAAGTGTGGCTGAGCCGTCGGCAGTGTCGGCTAAAAGCGACCCCCAATCAACATACTGCACGTCGGAGTCCGTTTGAGCCAGATGTATTGACGGACCCCTGCCTCTTCCATCACCTTGGGGGCATTCGCGTCGGATATGTTGTGAACTGTGGCATACGACGACTCCATAGCTTTACCGTTGGCATCCTTCGGATGTCCTCGCCGTCCTTTACGTTTGCCTGATGTATGCCTGCGGTTTCTGCCAGTACCTAAAAACATTCCTTCATACTGAGGTCCAGTAAGAGACGCCAGGAATGCTAGTAAGGCCTCTACCATGCAATCGTCGACGCTGGCCTTTGCCTTTACTCCGACCCTTGCCTTTTCCCTTAAGTGATCGTCGTACGATACGTCTTACCTTTCGGAGTGGTTTCTTTATGAACCTCCACCAACGATGCTTGTTTTTTTGGTAGCCCATAAATAACCATTGAGCTTGTTGCTCTTCAGCGAGGTATGTAGGCATCTCAGAGTAATCCAGGGCGGTAGCTTCGCCATTGGAAGACGCATCCGCATCGGTACCGGAGTCGAAGTCGGACTCGGCGGATTGCCCCGCAGAGCCCATGAGGGTCATGGCTTGTATAGGGGAAACCGCGTCAGGCGGCCCTCTAGGTCTGGCCCAGGAGTCTTGCGACCCCGAGGCAGTTCCAGTCTGAGCCAGCAGCGGAGTGGTCCCAGTTGACTGTGGATCATCGTTCCAGACGTTGTTGGCAGGTTGCCCTGCGTTGGCCTCTACATGGAAGGCCTCGGTTCGATGACCGTGGCTAAAGATACCACCAATATTGCCAGGGGTCCTCTCAGCTATGTGAGCATATGACCTAATACGTCCGAGTAGAGCGTCAAGTTGTTGTTGGTCTCTCGGCATGCGGTGGTTCAGAGGCTGCAGGAAATGCTGTGCACGCGATGTCCCCACTCCAAGAGCTCCGAATAAAACTACGGCTAGGATTTGGAAGTTGGGGATATCGAAACCGGCTGTTTCAGCTTCGTAACGAGCTATCTCCAATCGCGTTAACGTCTGGTCGATACGTTCACCCGCATGGACTCGACAGTCAATAAGAGCCCTACAAGAGTTGAGTTGGCGTTCCTCTTCTAGGTTCTCGAACTTCGTGCTTAAGAGGAACATAATGTAAGTGACGCCCTCGGTGTGGCGACCGCCAATGTTGACGCCAAAATTGATGACTGCTGGGGGGACTCTCATGGCTAGAGTCAGTGCGAGACCTCCCAGACCTCGCTGCAACACTGCAGCTTGATGGGAGGGCGTCATATTGCCTGTGGTCACATTCATCCAGGCATGTACTTCGCGGACGAATTCGCGAAAAGGTTCTTGACCGCCGGGGTCCCAATGGGGGTTGGTCGTTCTTGCGTCGTCTCCGCCCCGCATATGTCCGACCGCACACCCACTAGCGACCCATATGAGCCCAAAAATAGCAACCCCAATCCAATGGCCTCGTAGGTCGTAGTCGGAAGCAGTCGGTTGGGACTTATGTTGTTTAGTCGTAAGTCTGCGTGGAGTCGGAGGCGGCAGTATGTCGTATCGCACGCTTCCATGCATTATGTCTTGGAAAAATTCCAATTGGAGTAGGTGGGGGGACTTCAGGAGTGTAGTAGCCCAGGGATGTAAGATGTGAGTGAGAGACCTCCGCTTGGACAGAGGTATCACTGCAAGTTTCCTTGCGGTACTGCGTAGTTATATACTTTCCTCCGCGCAAACCCACTGCACCCTGATGTTCCACCATCTCTGTAGTCCACCAGATAGTGCCGTGGATGGTGAGGAGTAGAGATAGAGCTGACCACCATAGGCCAGCCCCGTTACCAAGTTTGAACGGGGCTGGAAGGCCCAGCCAGCAGCTTCGCCTCAGGCGAAGCCAAGTTCCCGCTCTTTTATACCGTAGTAACGACAGTCCCAGTATGAGAGGAGATGCCATCTCAAGCAATAGGAAGATCCACGTGGTCTCGATAGCGATTGTGTGCCTCGCAGCGGGGCACAGTCATATTTGGGCGGCCGGCCGCTTGAGCCGACGAGGCCGCGGGCGCACGCTCGCTTCCACTCCTTACGTCTTTCAGCTCGCTTTAGAGTATCTGGTAGGGTCCTGCACTCTACAAAGGGACCCATTGGGACCCCCCCTCTCGACGCACACAGGTGTATGCATCCCCCCCTCTCGAGGGTCCCTGGGCGCCCAAGATGGTTTCCAAGATGGCCTGGGCAAGCCACCAATGCCACCAAGATAGCCCAAGATGCTTCCAAGACGGTCTAAGATGGACCCAAGACGGCACGAGGTGATCTCAAGACGGCCCAAGTGGCCCCCAAGACGACCCAAGAGAGCTTCAAGAGGACCCCCCGTAGGGCCCGAAGAGGCCGAACTTGGTAACTTCCCTTGGGTTTTGGAAAGATGTTCGTGTCCTCGCCTTTTCGGGCGTCCGTCCACTCAAGATGGCCCAAGAGGTCTCCAAAATGGCCCCAAGACAGACCAAGAGGGCCCGACAATGACCCAAGAGGCTTCCAAGAAGGCCTCAAGACGACAGACGACTGTCTCAAGACGGCCTAGGACAGCTCCAAGAGACCTCAATATGGCCCAAGAGAGCCTCCAGAGAGACCGAAGACGGCCTCAGAGGGCCCCCAAACGGCCCAAGAGAGCCCCGAGATGGCTCAACAGAGCCCAAAAACAACACAAGAGGGCCCCAAGGCAGACCCAAAACTGCAACACAAAAGCCTTAGACAGCCCCAAGACGGCCCAAGTGCGCTCCGTGTGAGTTCCTCACGAAGTGAAGTTGAAAGGTATTACATGTGACGATCTTCCTCTTCCTCCTCCTCCTCCTCCTCCTCCTCATGCTCCTCATGCTCCTTCTCCTCCTCCTCCTCCTTCTCCTCATCCTCCTCCTCCTGATCATCATCATCATCATAATCATCATCATCAGCAGCAGCAGCATCGTCATCATCAACAACAACAGCAGCAACAACAACAACAACAACAACCACAACAACAACAACAACAACAACAACAACAACGACAACCACAACAACAACAACAACAACAACAACAACAACAACAACAACAACAACAACAACAACAACAACAACAACAACAACAACAACAACCACAACAACAACAACAGCAGCAGCAGCAGCATCAACCTCAACAACAACTACAACGACAACAACAACAACAACAGCAACAACAACAACAACAACAACAAAAACAACGACAACTACAACAACAACAACAACAACAACAACAACAACAACAACAACAGCAACAACAACAACAACAACAACAACAACAACAACAACAACAACAACAACAACAACAACAACAACAACAGCAGCAGCAGCAGCAGCAACATCATCTTCATTTCCAACACCGACACGCCGCAGAAGAGCGTTTCACATGTCAAGGCTCTCCCAAGACTCGAGACACCAGGTAACACGCGTTAAGGCTTCCTGCGCCCATCGAACATTCGCCACCCAGTGCTGGGCTGGCACGGCGGCGGGACTTACCGCAGGCAGCTGAGTAAGTATAACACAGCCCACTCTGCCGTTACAGAGTATGAGGCGCCATGCGCCCTACGGCACGCGTGAACAGCGGCGGCGGCGGCGCGACCTACATAGTTGATGTTTCAGGAACCAGCAATCAACGCAGCCGCTTCGGCTATCACATTCTTCATGATGTCGGATTCGTCCTTCCCTTCCTCCTCCTCCACCCACCCGAGCCGCTTTTTCCATTTCTGCTTTGCCTCCTTCATGTGCTTTTGGTGGACCGCCTTGAGCTTGTCGATGTGCTTGGCGGAGCTCGCTCCAGATCGCAGCGCCAGAGGGTACGGGAGCGAGAACTCGTCGTCCCGCCACACGGGCTTGAGCAGCATCGAAACCTTAGAAAGCGTCCGCGCGACCCGAGCCAGGCCCACGGCAGGATCGCAGTCCCGATGCCACCCTGGAGATCCCGAAGTCTCTGGAGGCCCAAAAAAAGTCCCCGATCCTCGATCCTCGATCCTCGATCCTCGATCCTCCATCCTCGATCCTCGATTCTCTCACTCAAGACGAAATCATATCAAGAATTCAGAAAAGTCCTCGCGAACCCGCCCACGGAGGCCCGAACTTCACATGGGGCACGGTCCGTGTGGAGGGTGCGCCGAACTGGGCCGGGGTCCGCACACGAGGACGCGCACCGAGGCCGTGCGTGGAGCTCTCCCTATGGAGGGGGCGATCCGTGTGGGGGGGTTACTGAAAAGGGCAGAAGCCCACTCCTCCTCCTCCTCCTCCTCCTCCTCCTCCTCCTCCTCCTCCTCCTCCTCCTCCTCCTCCTCCTCCTCCTCCTCATCCTCCTCATCCTCCTCCTCCTCCTCCTGGTGGAGCCCCTTATGGGGTATGATCTGTGTGAGGGGTCTGCCGCAGTTGGCGGAGGCCCGCATGCGAACGCGCCCACCGTGGCCTTAGGTGGAGCTCCCCATGGGGGCGCGACCTGTGCGAGGTCTGCCGAGGTCAGGATGGGGCCCGCATGCGAACGCGACTGTGGGGCGCGACGGTGTAGGGTGTGTGCCGAAACGGGCTGGGGCCCGCAAACATACTCGCCCACTGGGGCCGCACGTGGAGCTTCCAGTGGGGCACGACCCGCACGATGCCTTTGCGGCGGCGGCAGCAGCAGTGACAGAGCGGCGGCCGCACGGAACAGGCAACGCCACAGCAACGGCGGGGAGAGGAGGGGGAGGAGGGAGGAGGCGGGCGCGCGGCGCCGCGGGGAAAAACTAGGACCGCGCGACACGGGAGGGTTGGGAGAACGCGCAACCTTTCTCACAGCTAGCCGCTGAGCTGAACCCCAAGACGGACCTCCTCCCTCTCTCGCTCGAGGGGGGGAGCATGGATGAGGGGGATGTTCCTGAAGGTTTTCGGAAGGTTTGGGGCCTTCTTGGTCCTGTTTGAGCCCCCGAGATTTTTGCCTGCGATATCGAAATATGATCACAATTCGCGGGCCCAAGCCCCCACTCAAATTAGCTTGGCGACAGACCCAACCCTTTGCAACTGCGGGTAGCGCGGGTATGACCCTCTCCTCCTAGGCAATGCGCCGCCAAAAGGGATGAAGCCCCCCCTGGGGCACGATCCATGCCAGGGGTGTGACGAAATTGGCGGTGGGGCCGCATGCGATGTGGAGCTCGCATGCGATACCCTGCCGCTGGGGCGCTCAGTAAAGCTCCCTGTGGGGCCACGACACATGAATGGTGTGCCGAAATGGGCGGAGGGGGCGCACGCGATACACTGCCACTGCGGCACTCGGTGGGGCTCCCTGTGGCCCTGTGGGGCTACGGATCGTATGAGGGGTCACCAAAACGGGCGGGAGGGCGCATGCAATAGCCTGTCATTGAGGCACTCGGAGGAGCTCCCTGTGGGGCCATGAAACGCGTGATGGGTGTGCCGCACTGTGCGGGGGGTGGGTCGCATGCGATATCCTGCCACTGAGGCCTTCGGTGGAGCTCCCTGTGGGCCAACGAAAAGTGTGCGGGGAATGCCGAAATGGTCGGCGGGGGGACCGCATGCGATACCCTGCCGCTGAGGCACTCGGTGGAGGCCACTGTAGTGTCACGAATCGTGTGAGGTTGTGCCGAAATAGGCGGAGGGGCGAATGCGATACCCTGCCACTCAGGCATTCGGTGGAGCTCCCTGTGGGGACACGAAACGTGTGAGGGTGTGTCGGAGTAAAGAGAGTATAGGCAAGATGGGGAGGAGGAGGAGGAGGAGGAGGAGGAGGAGGGAAGTGCGATACTGTGAAGAGACGCGGGGCGACACAGGAGGGTTGGGAGGTAGCCTGGCGAAAAACCCAACCTTGTTTACCTGCGAGTAACGCAGGACATGAACATCTCATCATAGGCAATACACCGCAAAAAAGCGATGGAGCTACCTGTGGGGCCACGACGCGTGAGGGGTGTGCCTACACAGGCGGGGAGGCGCGTGCGATACCCTGCCACTGAGGCGGACGAAGGAGCACGAAGCGTGTGAGGGGTGTGCCGAAATGGGTGGACGGGGGCGCATGCGATACACTGCCACTGAGGCCTTCGGTAGAGTTCCCAGTGGGGCCGCGAAAGGTGTGAAAGGGTGTGCCGAAATGGGCGGGGGGGAACGCATACGATATCCTGTCACTGGGGCACTCGGTGGAGCTCCCTGTGGGGCCACGAAACGCGTGAGGGGCGAACCGACATGGGCAGGGGGACCGCATGCGATACCCTGCCGCTGAGACGGCAGGTGGAGCTCCCTGTGGGGCAACGAAACATGTGAGGGGTGTGCCGAAATCGGCGGGAGGAACGCATGCGATTCTCTTCCACTGACGCACTCGGTGGAGCTCCCTGTAGGGCCACGAAACGTGCGAGGGGTGTGCCGAAGTGGGCAGGGGGGAACGCATGCAACACGACGCTTCTGGGGCCCTCGGTGGAGCTCACTGTGGGGCCACGAAACGTGTGATGAACGTGCCGAAATGACCCGAACATGCGCTGAGCAGGAGGAGGAGGAGGAGGAGGAGGAGGAGAAGGAGGGAGGGGCGAGGTGAGCTGAGACGCGGGGCGCTGCGGATTCAACACGAGGACCCAACAACCAGGACGGTTGGGAACAGCAGAGGGGTTTCCAACAACTTGGCCAAGCTGTCGGGCAAGACGGACCTACTCCCTGAGCATACACGTTTTGGTCGTGCTTTGTACTTTTTGCGCCTCCGGATGCCCCTGAAAGCTTCTGGGCGCCTCCTGGAACCTCTCAGGGAGGTCTTCGGAGGCCTCGGGGGTCGTTCATGGGTCTCTGGAGGCCCCTTCCAGGGACCTCCATGGACCTCTAAGTGAGAATGTGTGCGTGGTCACTCTCGAGACACCATAAGCCGTTTTCAAGTTGAGCGCCGACGGGCCCGTGAATGATGCAATCGATGTTCACACGCTCCCCAATCGGGGGGCACAGAGGTGGGGTGAGCGCCCCCCAGGCCACCTAGATGAAGAAAAAATCTGTCTCCAGGTCGACTCGCCCCCTAGCCCCCCTTTGACGCAGTCTCCCCTCTGCGGACGCCCGACCCAACAGGCCCGCGATCCTATCCAACTCCCTGGGGGCCTCCAGAGGCCCCCCTTTGGCCCCCCCCCGCCTCGCGGGAGGCGTTTCACTTCGTCCGCTTTCGTTTCGTCCGCTTTCGTTTCGTCCGCTTTCGTTTCGTCCGCGTTTCGTTTCGTCCGCGTTTCGTTTCGTCCGCTTTCGCTTCGTCCGCTTTCGTTTCGTCCGCTGTCGGTGCGCACGCTGAGTAGCGTGGGGGGGCGTGGGGAGCCTGGGGGAACGTGGGGGACCGTGGGGGACCGTGGGGAGCCTGGGGGAGCGGGAAGCATGGGGGAGCGCGGGCGTCCGCGGGGGAACGCGGGGGAGCGCGGTGGGGGGGGGCTTGGGGGAGCGTGGGGAAGCGCGGGGGAGCGTGGGGGGGCGGACGAGTGTCCGAGCGGACGAGTTGAGACCGGACGAGTTTCCGAGCGGACGAGTTGAGACCGGACGAGTTTCCGAGCGGACGAGTTGAGACCGGACGAATTGAAACAGAATTCGAACGGCGAGCGTGGGGGAGCGTGGGGAACGTGGGGGAGCGGGGGGGAGCGTGGGGGAGTGTGGGGGAGCGCGGGGGAGCGCGGGGCGGGAGCGTGGGGGTGCGTGGGGGAGCGTGGCGGAGGCGTAGGGGGACCGTGGGGGAGCGTTGGGGAGCGTGGGGACCGTGGGGATCGTGGGGGAGCGCGGGGGACCGTGAGGGAGCGTGGCGGAGCGCGGGGGAGTGCGGGGGAGCGCGGGGAGCGTGGGGGAGCGTGGGCGAGCGTGGGGGAGCGGACGGGTGTCCGAGCGGACGAGTTGAGACCAGACGAGTTTCCGAGCGGACGAGTTGAGAACAGACGAGTTCAAACGGACGAGTTCGAACGGGCATCGTGGGAGAGCGTCCCCACGGGGAGCGTGGGGGAGTGTGGGGGAGCGTAGGGGAGCGTGGGGGAGGGCGGGGGGGTACGGGGGAGTGGGGGGGACCGTGGGGGACCGCGGGGGAACGTGGCGGAGCTTGGGGGAGCGCGGGGGAGCGTGGGGGGAGCTCCGGGAGCGTGGGGGAGCGTGGGGTGAGCGTCGGGGAGCGTAGGGGGAGCGTGGGGGAGCGTGGGGGACCGTGGAGAAGGCTGGAACGTGGGGGAGCGTGGGGGACCGCGGGGGAGCACGGGGGAGCGTGGGGGGGGGCCTAGAGAAGCGTGGGGGGGCGTGGTGGGGGAGCGTGGGAGAGCGGACGAATGTCCGAGCGGACGAATTCACACCAGATGAGTTTCCACCGGACGAGTTTCCACCGGACGAATTTCCACCGGACGAATTTTCGACCGGACGAGTTTTCGACCGGACGAGTTTCCACCGGACGAGTTTCCACCGGACGAGTTTCCACCGGCGCCCCCCCCGGAATCCGGGCGGGGGGCCTGACCAGACGAGTTTCCACCGGACGAGCTTCCACCGGTCGAGTTTCCACCAGCGCCCCTAGGGAATCCGGGCCCCAGGGGGGCCGACCAGACGAGTTTCCACCAGACGAGTTGAAGCGGACGAGTTTCCGAGCGGACGAGTTAGCACCGGACGAGTTTGCACCGGGCAAGTATTCCACCGGACGAAACAAAACAGGATCGCCTCGCGGACCCGGCCGCACCGTGCGGAAGAGAGAGCGCGCCTCCGCGCGGCCTCGCACGGGGCGGCCAGCGCGCGCGGATGTCCGCACGGTCGGCGCCCCCCCGACGACGACGCCGACGACGACGACGACGACGACGACGACGACGACGACGACGACGACGACGACGACGACGACGATGACGACGACGACGACGACGACGACGACGACGACGACTCTCCCCGCGCCCCAGCCAGCCTAGAGGCCTCCGGTCCCCAGGCCCTGGGCCCGGAACAAGCCCCGGCGACTAAGAAAGCTCAATTCGAGATAGACGGCCCAAGTGGGGAACGAGCTCCCATTTGAGCCCAGATGGCTACGGACTGGGAGAAGGAGGAGGAGGAGGAGGAAGAGGAGGAGGAGGGGGAGGAGGAGCAGCAGCAGCAGGGAAAGGCGGCCTCTGAAAGATGATGGGGAAGCATCCCCCCCACGTTTTCCAGAGGTCTCCAGAGGAACCCAGAGGCTTCTGGAGGCCTCCGGGGTCCCGAAAAGGGCCAGAACGCCCAAAGACTCCTCCATCCTCGATCCTCGCACGGTGTTCCGAGGTCGGGGCGTGGAACTCCTCCGCCATTCCGTCCAGCAAGGGGATGTACGGCACACCGTGCTTGCTGGCCAGCTTCTCTGCGACCTCCACCCCCGGCGTCCCCTGCAGAGCGCACAGGTGCAGCAAGGAGATGCTCTCGCGGGTGCCGTCCCGCTGGGACTCGGTGTTGCCCTGCACGGAGGCCATGGGGCCGACGGGCAGGGTCGTTCCACCTCGCCGTCCGCGTCGTCGCCCCCGCCATTCGCCGTCTCCGTCGTCCGTCGTCATCCGTCGGCGTCGTCTTCGCCGCCGTCGCCGTCGTCGTCGCCGACGTCGTCGTCGTCGTGGTCGTACCGCAGGCCGAAATGGAGACATCTCAAACGGGGACGTTGTCAGATCCACGGGGATTGAGTGAATGTGCCGACCCCTTGGGTGCCGGATGTGTTAACCCTTCCGGCGTGGGTCAACTTCCCTTGGCTTTCCTTCGTTTCCCCTGACATTCTTTGACTTTCCTTCACTTTCCCTCACTTCCCCTCACTTTCCTTCGCCCTCCTTCCCCCACTTTCCCTCACTATCCCTCCCTTTCCTTTCCTTCACATTCTTTCACTTCCCCTCACTTCCCTTTCCCTCATTCTCTTCACTTTACCTCATTTCTCTTACGTTCCCTCCCTTCCCTCTCCTTGGTTTGCCCTCACCCTCCCTCACTTTCCTTCATTTTCCCTGACTCTCCCTCACCTTCCCTCACTTTCCATCACTTTCCCTCCCGTCCCTTTCCCTCAAAGTCTTCCATTTTCCTACAATTTGTCCCCCTCACTTTGACTCATTTTCCCCGCTTTTTTCCCATAACTTTCCCTCACTTTCCTTCGCTTTCCCTGACTTTCTCCACTTTTCCTCACTTTCTTTTATTTTCCATCACGTTCCCTGACTTCCCCTCACTGCCCATCACTTTCCTTCACTTTCCGTGACTTCCCCGCATTTCCATTCACTTTCCTTCGCCTTCCTTTCCATCACTTCTCTGACTGCCCCTCACGTTCCCTTATTTCCCTTTTTCCAACACTTGCCCTCACTTGTCCTGACTTTCCTCGCCCTCACTTTCCCTCGCGTTACCTCATTTCCTTTTCCCTCACGTTCCCACACTTTGCCTCGCTGTCCGTCTCATTCCCTGGCTTTCCTTCGCTTTCGCACCTTCCCTCACTTCCCCTCACTTTCATTTCCATCACTTTCCCTCACATTTCCTCACTTCCCTTTCCCTCAGTGCCCATGACTTTCCCTTACTCTGCTTTGTCTCACTTTCCTTCACTTTCCCTCACGCCCCTTCCCCTCATTTCCCTCACGTTCCCTCACTTCCCTTCACTTTCCTCAATTGTCCCTCGCTTCCCCTCCCTCTCCTTCACTTTCCCTCACTTTCCCTGTCTTTCCCTCAATTTTTCTGACTTTCCGTAGCTTGCCCGTACTTTCCCTGACTTTCCCTCACTTTCCGTCACTCTCCTTTTCCGCATTTCCCCTCACTTTCCTTCACGTTCCGTCACTTTCACGGACTCATGTTCCTTCACTTTCTCTGACCTTCCCCAACGTTCCCTCACTTTCCTTCGGTTTCCTCGACTTCCCTTTAATTTCCCTCATCTTCCCTTCCCCCAGGTTCCCTGACGTCCCTTTCCCTCGCTTCCCCGGACTTTCCCTCCCTTCCCTTCCCCTCACTTTCCATCACTTTCCTCACTCCCCTGTCCCTCACTTTCCCTCACTTTCCTTCACTGTCCCAGACTTCCCCCAACTTGCCCTCGCTTTTCCTCACTTTCCTGCCCCTCAGTTTCCCCCCACTGCCTACTGCCCCGTCCCACGATTTCCCTCCCTTTCCCTCGCCTTCCGCCCCTTCAATTTCCCCCACTTCCCCTCGCTGCCCTTCCCAGCACTTCCCCTCACCTTCCCTCACTTTCATTAACTCCCCCTGAGCTTCCCTCACTCTCCATCACGCCCCCTCACTTTCCCTGACTTTCCCTCACTTCCCCCATTTCCCGTCACTTCCCTTTGCGTTCCTTTACTTTCCCTCGCCTTCATTTCCCGTTACTTTCCCTAGATTTCCCTCGCGTTCCCTCACTTCCTTTTCCTTCACTTTCCCTGACTCACCCCCAATTTCCTTTTCCCTCACTTGCCCTCATTTCCCTCCCCATCACTTTCATCACTGTCCTTCACGTTCCCTGACATTGGCACATATTCCTTTCCCTCACTCTCCCTCACTTCCCTTCCCATCACGTTCCCGGCCCTTCCGTCACTTACCTCCCCCTCACCTTTCCCTCACTGTCCCTCATTTCATGGTCCTTTGATTTCCCTCGCTCCCCATTCAATTCCCCTGGATGCCCGTCCCTTTCCCGAATTTCCCTGTCTTCCCCTCACATTCATCCCCCTCCCTTCCCCGCAATTTCTCTCACTTGCCTTTCCACCACGTTCCCTGACGTCCCCTCACTATCCTTGCCTTACTTTCCCGCACTTGCCCTCGCCCCCCTTCCCTCACTCTCCTGCATTTTCATTCACTTTCTTTCGCTTTCCCTGACTTCCCCTCGCCTCCCGTCACTGTCACTCACTTCCCCTCCCTTTCCGTACCCTCACTTTCCCTCGCCCCCCTTTCCCTCGCGTTCTCTGGGCCCCCTTTATTTACCCCACTTTCCCGCACTTTCCTCTCCCTGGCTTTCCCTCGCGCCCCCCGACTGCCCCTCACTCCCCCTCGCTATCCTTCAAGCACCCCTGCTTCCCCTCACGTTCCCCCACGCCCCCTCACTTCCCCCGCTTTCTTCTCCCTCGCCCCCACTGCCCCGCGCTTCGCTTCCCCTCACCTGCCCCGACTTTCCATCGCGCCCACTTCACTCGCCGCCCCTTACTTTCCCTCACTTCCCGCCCCCTCACATTCCCCAACGTCCACCCACTTTCATTCACTGCCCCTGGGCTTCCATCACGTCCCCTCTATGCCCCTCTCCTGCCCTCACTTGCCTTTCCTTTAGTTTCCGCGACATTCCCTCACCTCCCCTTCTTCACTTTCCCTGACGCTCCATCACTCCATTTTCCATCATTCCCCCTCACGTTCCCCCCCCCCCCCCCCCTTTCCCTCACTTGCCCTTCCTTCGCATCACGTTCAGTCGCTCCCTCCAATTCCCTCGCTCCCCCTTCGCACCCCTTTCCCTTACTTTCTCTTACTTTCCTTGCCCAGCCTTCCCCTCTCTTTCCGCCACGCCCCGTGCCCTCGCTTTCCGTGGCGCCCCCTCACGTTCCCTCACGTTCCGTTCCCTCGCTGTCCCTCGCGCCCCTTTCGAATCGACTTCTGTGACCGCCCTTTGCTTCCCTTTCCCATAACTGCCCCTGGGTGCCCCTCGAATTCCTCACCCTCACTGCCCCCCACTTTCCCTTCCCTCGCTTCGCCCCATTTTCCCTCGCGTTCCCTCGCGCCCCCAACCTTCCCCATCGCCCCCCCTCACACCCACTCACGTTCGTTTCCCTGACGTTCCCTCACCTTCCTTTCCCTCGCGCCCCCGCACCTCCCTTTAGTTCACTTTCCCGAACTCCCTCCAAATTCCCTGCACTTCCCCTCGCCCCCCCCCCCCCCCCCCCCCCCCCCCCTTACTTTCGCGAGTTCCCCCCGCCCCACCACGTCCCCTCACTTGCCATAATTTCCCTTCACGCCCCCCCCCCCCACCCCCTGTCCTTCACCCCACTTTCTTTCGCTTTCCCTCACTGCCAATCACTTTCCATCACTTCCCTCTCCCTCACTTCCCGCTGCTTCCCCTCGCGCACCTTCCCCCTACCTTCCGCCACTGTCCTCAACTTTCCCTCGTGCTCCCTGACCCCTCCCCATTGCCTTCACTTCCCCTTCACTTTCCCGCCCGTCACCAACCCTCACGTTGTATCACGTCGCTGTCCCTTACTTCCCATCGCCCTCCGTCACTTCCCCCCATTTCCCATTCCCTCACGTTCCCCCGATGCCCCTCACTTTCTCGGACTTCCCCGGCTTCCCCCCACTTCCACTGACTTGCCACCACGCCCCCCCACTGCCCCTCAATTTCCTCTCCCTCACTTTCCTTCGCTTCCCTCCCCCCCACTTACCCCACTGTTGTTTTCTCACTTCCCAGCACTTTCCCTGACTTTCCCTCACATTGCTCCCCCTCGCTTTCGTCAACTCCCCCTGGCTCCCCACACTCTCCCGCACTTGTCCCCTCACTCGCCACAACTTCCCCTCATTTCCCTCTCCGTCACGTTCCCTCACCCTCACTCACTTCCCCTCACTCTCCTTTCCATCGCGTTCCATCACCATCCTTGCATTTCCCTCACTGTCCCGTCGCTTGTCGTTCCATCCAGTTCCCTCAATGCAATGTCCCCTACTTTCCTTCATGACCCCTCACTTGTTTAACTGTCGCTCACTCCCCCCCCCCCCCTCGCGTTCCTTTGCTTGCCCTGACTCCCCCTCACGATCCCCCACGTCACATTTATCGCATCCCTTACAATCCCTCACTTTCCTTCCCTGCCACTTGCTTCCCATCACTTTTCATCGCGTTCCTTGCTCTCACTTTCCACGCATCCCGTTCCATCACTTTCCCTGACTTCCCCTCACTTCCCTCACGCCCCCTCACTCCCCGTACCATCACTTTCGTTCGCTTTCCCTCACTGTCCCTCGCTTTTCCTGCGCTCTCCATTGCCTCCCCTCACGTTCCCTCGCTCCCCCCGACTGCCCCCCACGTTCCCTAACGTTCCCTGGTTTTCCCATACTTTCCATCACGTTCCCTCACTGCCCCTTCCGCCGCTTCCACTGGCTTCCCCTCGCGTTCCCGCACTCCCCCTGACTTTCCCTCACTATCCCACCCTTCACTTCCTCCACTTTCCCTGACGGTCCTTCAGTTGCCCTTGCTTTCCCTCACTTCCCCTTGCCTCCTCACTTCCCCAAACTTCCCTTGACCTCGCTCCCCCATGGCTCTCTCACTTGCCTTTCCCGAAGTTTCAATCAATTCCCCTCACTTCCCCTGCCCACACTTTCCTGCAACTTTCCTTCACATTCCTTCACATTCCCTGACTTCTCATCACTTTCCCTCACTTGCCTTTGCTTCCCCATCATTACCCCTAGCTTTCCCTCAATCTCGTGCCCCTCATTGTCCCGCGCGTTCCCTGGCTTTCCATAAGTTTCCATTCACTCATGGTGCAGCACTTTCAGTCGCTTCCCTGTCCCTCCTTTCCCCTCGCTTCCCCTCACCCCCCT